GATGTTTTGGGCAAAGTCAAAAGGCAAGACTACTTTACATTAACTGCCGACGACTGGCAGAAAAGACAGAGACACAGCCACCAAGGCAGAAACAAACAGGACGTTGAGCAGCAGTCGACTGAGGAAGGAGTGGTGACATTTCTTCCCGTGGCCTCTGCTTTTGAACCACTGCACGACCTCATCCAGGTTGTACTCCCTGGGCTCGTAACCGAGCTCCGCCTTTGCCTTTGCCATGCTGAAGTAATGCGTCACGCCAGTTTTATACACCTCTGTACGTGTCAGCAGCGGCTGGAAGTTATAGAAGGGGCCGATGAGGCAGTGAATCATTTCTGTGAGGAAGGCAAAAAAGTAAATGAGAGAGATAGGAAGGCGCAGTGTGGGGAAACGATAGCCTAGGCCTTCTACGAGAGGTCTGAAGAATTCAAAATTGTTGACAGGCCTTCCATCTGAGATGAAGTAGGCCTGGCCAGCGGCGCGGTGCTGCTTCTCTGGGGTCAGAGCCTCAGCAGCTAGCACATGTGCTGACACCAGGTTGTCAACATGGACAAACTCCACCAGGCTGCTGGGTTTACCGTAAACAAACCTGAAGATCCCCTTCTCTATATAGTCAACTATCCTGGGCAGATGCCTCTGCTCTCCTGGCCCATAGATACCTGCCGGACGCAGTGCGCAGGTGCTCAGCAGGCCCGAGCGGCCCTTCAGCACTGTGCCATTAGCTTTCAGAACTGCCATGTCAGCCAGGGACTTGGTTCTGGAGTAGTGGTCTGGGTGAAGATGGAGAGGTAGATAAGGCAGGCTTTCATCTCCGTTCTCTATTACCTGACCCCCGAACACCACATTGAAGGTGCTGGTGTAAATCAGCCTGGACACTCCGTGTTCTACACAGGCCTTCAAGATGTTCTGTGTGCCTTGTACGTTCACTGCCTCAATCAGCTGGCGATTTAGCTGCTCCCTGCCAGACATGCCATAGGAGGCAATGTGGAATACACAATCCACCCCTGTGACAGCCTTCTCCACGTCTGGATATTCACGTATATCACCCTGCACAAACACAACATCCTCTGGCAGTTCTTGACTTGGGGGGATGATGTCAAACAGGATGACTTTGGCTCCTTTTTTATGCAGAGACAGAGCGAGCCTTCAGGGGGGAAAAAGCAGTCCTCCATTTTAACAAAATAACAGGCACAGTAAACCAAGGACAAAAGTACAATAGATGCACATATTTCTACCTTCAATCCTACCACAGTTCATGTCAAGAAAGTTTATCTTAATAAGATAACTGGTGTGATAACGCCACCTTGTGGTGCTTACCCCATGCTGCAGCGTTTGTCTGCATTTAAATATTTTATGTTGTGTAGTAATAACACAAAAAAGGCAAAATTGTTCTTACCGATTACCGAAGTAGCCAGATCCACCAGTTATTAAAAACGTCTCTTTGCTAGCATTTCCCATTCCAAGTGGATGAATCTGTGAGGAAAATTAAGAAAACAATATTATTAATGTTTGTTTTTTTTAAAATACACATAAATCAGCCTGATGCATTTAAAGAATAAAAGTATTAATAACTGAAATAAAATCGTAATTAAACAGCTTCCGGTTACCTAAAGTCAATCACAGCTTGCAGATTCAATGACGCGTTCCACCTGAGCTATTAAATCTTTCATGCTGCTACGTCAGTGTATATTTTTGTTTCCCGAGGTGACTGCAAGTTTAATTCAGTGAATAAAATCTAACTAATCCATACTTGTAGTTGCTTGCATGAGTAGAGTAAAGGTATGTGCGAGGCATGCTTGAAACTATGCACATGCCCTGTGCGCCAAACTGTTAAAAGCTCACATATTCAACGGACACACCAACCTGAGCACGAGGCAGACAAAAACGAGACAAATAAGTGTCCAATATGACTCATTCAAAACTCCACTGTAATCCTGGAAACCTCAAAAACAGCGACAGATAGCACCACCAGTGTACCTCCTCACCAGTGACGCTGATTCGTTAAGCACGGGGATACAGGAAATCCGGCGAAATTATCTTCATGTAGCAAAGCATTGACAAATTGTAAAATAGTTTTAATGGTAGCTAAACGCAAAATTATACAACAGATCCGTAGATATTGTCGAATTTCATGGTTTAGATTTACAGACTGTCATAGCATTCACTTTAATCTGGACTAACGATACACGTCTCATGCTTTTGTTTTGAAAGCTGTATTTTAGACTACGAAGACTTCCGATATTGACTTTTTTTCACCGATTTTAACCAGAATATTTTTATTAACACGATATAAATTTTGCTGTGTGTATAAGCTGTGTCAATGGTGTCTGAAGGTGGCTATGGCTGCTTTCAGGATGTTGCTGTTAGAAACTTTCCGCTGTGGCTCCTGGCTTCATGCCTGAAATCAAAATGATAGTTGCCGTAAAGTGACTCATACTGCTGTGAGGGCCCTAATATTTACAGGAAGGCTTCAGAGCAGTCAAATCCCTTAAAAACATAAAAAATATTTGTCTGAGCCATAATTAAAAACAATATAATCATTTCAAGAATAAAAAAGTTTAACCCACCAATTTACAGAGAGTGGAGTTTTCAGTGAGAACTAATAAAGGAGTGAAATATTGCTCTATATACACTGTACAGACTTTTCCCCCTCGGATTAGTAGAATTTTAATTTAATCTGTAGTTGTGTGAGGGGAAAACGTGAATAATCCTTTTAAAAGGTAAAATAAAAAGAGGATTTACGTAAGTCTTTGATTAGTAGTCCCTCTAGTGGTGATACAAACTGAAAATTGACGACGACGTCATATTTTACTCTCAGTTGCCACCCAGAACAACAACGCAGAGCTGCAGGTTACTTCAAAGTCCAAAGGTAAGCGGCTGTGTTATGTAAGAGAGATCAGTGAAGTAAAGAGTGCACTAAACTCTTAAAGGAAACAGTCCGGTGGGAGGCACGGCCAACGGGCTTTATGTTTCCTAAAGTATGCGTATTTGTCGATCTGATCGTTGTGACAAAAAAGTAGGGTATACTTTTACAGGCACACGGATGAACGTTTGTCGAAATTGCCTTTCTCGTTTTACATAATTTACTCACTTGAAAAACTTGCCCAAAGTTAAGCAGGCCTACACGTTCCGTATCTGTACAAAACGCACCACCCAAAATGTGCAAAATGTGATAAAACAGGAAGATACGCGTCATGAGCATGTTTAGGTTGAGTTACACCGAATTGTTGAAAACAAACAAAAACAAGTCCGTGATAAACTACTTTACAACATGTTTAGGAGTCGACTTTGCATATATAAGTGCAACTTTTAACTTGATATAGGACTGATCACTAAATTCAGTATAATATGATCCGGTGTAAAGTATCCTGTGTCTTATCTGAGGACTATTACAAAAGGTGTCATAACCTGCATTTTACAAACAGGATGGATTTGCGTGAGTACTTCAAAAGAATTGGTTTCCATGTCTCCTGTGATAAACTGGATCTTGCAACACTGAAGCTGATCCACAGACAGCATGTTATGTCCATCCCATTTGAGAACCTAAGCATCCACTGTGGCGAGAGGATCACCATGGACCTTGAGGTCATCTTCAATAAGGTTGTGAGGAGCAGCCGCGGAGGCTGGTGCCTTGAGAACAACTCCCTGTTTGGCTGGGTGTTGAGACAAATGGGTTTCAACACGACAACACTGAGCTCCAGAGTTTTCAATAGTTTCCTCAATGACTTTGGCCCGCTTGATTCTCATCTCATTAACAAGGTCATCATTGATGGGAAGGCTTATATAACAGATGTAAGCTTTGGGGTGTCATCACAAGTGCGAGAGCCTCTGGAGCTTATTTCTGGAAAGGAGCAGCCCCAGGCAGCGGGTGTTTTTCGCCTCATAGACAAAGGGGACATGTGGGTGCTGGAGAAGACTGGCAGAAAACCAAAGGTTCCTAATCCAGAATTTGCTACATCAAGTCTGGTGAGCAGGAAGGAAACAAAGCAGATCTACTGCTTCACCTTGGAGCCTCGCGGGGTAGATCATTTTGTAGATAAATGTCACAGGCTGCAGACCGACCCCGCCTCACTGTTCACCAATAAGTCCATCTGCTCTTTGCAGACTCCCACGGGATTCAGAGCCCTGATTGGAAAGACCTACAGTGAGGTCACCTTCAAACCAGAGGAAGGTGTTGATGTCTTAGACATGAGGGACATATCAGATGATGAGATAGACGAAATTCTGATGGAAAAGTTCAACATAAAGCTGCAGAACAAACTAAAGCTGATGAGCAACAAATCCTGGTACACACTTTGAAAACAATCCTGACATATCAACATTTTATGTTGAAGCTCGTCAGCAAAATAAAATATTTGACAACTCCATGAATTAAATTATTTAGATCTTCAGAATTGTAGTTGCATAAAAACAGAAATAAATGAGCTCTAAATAATGTGCACTGAATGATGGAACGATAAAAAAACAACTCTATATGAATTCCAATTATTCAATTTGATTTTATTGTATTCATATAGCGTCAAATCACAAAAGCAGTCACTTCAAAGCACTTTATATTGCAAGGTAAAGACCCTACAATAATACAGAGAACACCACAACAATCAATTATCCACATAATCGTTACATAATTATGAACATTGTTACAGCAGCAAAGTACACTAAACAGGAAAATATAAATAGATGCAGCATACCTAACAACAGTAAAGCTATGCAAGTATATATGCAAGTATAAATATTTTAATTTCTAGTGTTATTATAGTGTAGTCGTTTACACATTTGCTTTTCCCTTTGGGTTTCCACCAGGAATGACAAATTCAAGGTAGAGCCACCTGCTGTGGCAGCTCCTTGTAAATAAGGGAGCAGCTGAAAGTAGCTTTATTTGGAATTGTATTATAGTGGGAAGTGAGAAGAAGGGAGTAGAGGAGAAATGCTCAGTGCATTATGGGAAGTCTGTCAGAATATGTAAATTAGGCTTAAAACATATCTGAGTTTTATCCCTAATTTTAAAAGTACATAGGGTATCTGTGCATTAAATAAAATGATTTACAGTATGAGGGAAAACATACCTGGGGGCAGCACGGTGGCACGGTGGTTAGCACTGTTGCCACACAGCAAGAAGGTCCTGAGTTCAATTCCAACATCAGGCCGGGGTCTTTCTGTGTAGAGTTTGCATGTTCTCCCCGTGTTTGCGTGGGTTCTCTCCGGGTACTCCGGCTTCCTCCCACCGTCCAAAGACATGCAGCTTGTGGGGATAGGTTAATTGGATAATCCAAATTGCCACTAGGAGTGAATGTGAGCGCGAATGGTTGTCTGTCTCTGTGTGTTAGCCCTGCGACAGACTGGCGACCTGTCCAGGGTGTACCCCGCCTCTCACCCCATGACAGCTGGGATAGGCTCCAGTGCCCCCCGCGACCCTGAAAAGGATAAGCGGAAGTGAATGGATGGATGGATGGATGGATGGATGGATGGGAAAACATACCATGTTTGTACTTTTCTGGATATAATAGTGAGTGTAGTGATCTTAATATTTATAGCTACCTTGAATGTTTTTGTGTCACATTTTTTTTGTTTTATGTTTGTATATTTATTAATCCCATATATCATAATGCTTAAACTAAGATAACTTATTTCATAGTATTTATCCTCAACCTTGTAAAACAGCAAAAGGTGAAAACTGAGCAAATCTGAAGACATCCTGACAAAAAAAATCATATATTGCTAGAAAGAGTAAGAAAATATGCACACTGCTTCTCTCCAGTTTAATGAATTCAATCTCAAAACATTCTTGCAAAGGCAACATTTTGATCTTGAAATGAAGAAAGAAGATTCCATGAATATTTCTATTTTTCAAACTATATTACCTGTTTATCTGTTCACCATTGTAAAATGATCATAATGCTTATATATGGTAACTGAGTAATTCACAGTATTAAAATGTCCTGTTTTGTGAAGTTGTTATAGTGTCATAGGTTTATACAAGGACGTTTGTATATCAAATGATTTGTCCTCAACGCCTCTACCTCTACACGACTGAGACTCAGATCCTCATCTTGGCCATCCACAGGCAGTTCTTAGATCAACGTGTGTTTGATAGAATAACCTAAATTGTATTTTAACAGACTTGAATGGACAGTGGCTCTTTGGGTTTCATGATATTAAACATACTTTGCTGTTTTATTCTATGTTCTGTGTCAAGGTTTCTTGCTTTTACAAAAATTATGTTGTCATTACCGATTATTCTCTTCAAAAGGGAGCAGGGATCATAACACATTATGATCCCTGCAGTGGGTGGGTCCTTTGACAGACAATACATAAATAAATCAGCCTCTTTTAACAACAGAAAATATGCTTTTGACAGTCTTCCTCTCAGTAAGAACTTTTGTTTTTCTTTAAACTTACCAGTTATCCTGCCACAGTTTGCTGGTTTTAGTAGTGTACAATGAAACTGACCGTGTTCTTTAATAGACAATTATGCTTCTAATATTACAGTTTAAGTGAGTTCTAATCAGGCTGTACTGCTCGTACACATCCAGTTGTTAGATAAAATCAACCTCACATTTCACCCATTTCAAACTTTCTGCATGAATGGTCTGTCCACCAAGCTCCTGTTAATAACAAACCTTTTGTAAAACCAACAACAGGACTTACTGTAAAAGAACCAGAGTATATATTCTTTCATATGATCACATTCAAGAGAAACTATTTTGTTTTGTAATATCATAGAAATTGCCATGATATGAATAATATCGGTCATTATCTGCAAAATCATTGACATTATTGTATTAATGTGGGTGTGTTTTATTGCCTGTGTACTGGACTTTTCTCTTTTGAGGCGAGGGATGCGTTATTTCTTCTTTCCAAATGTGTATATATTAGAATTTAAATGTGCTGCTGAAAGAACTTTAATAACTGCATGGATAAAATTCTATAAATACTTATTTCCATGTATGCATTGACTTCTCACTATTTCTCTCAGTGAAGCAGCTGAGTTGCACCAACTCTATCACTGATTAACTTATGATCAAGTAAATCAGTAATATACTGTCAGGTTCTTTTGGCTGTTTAAGCTCACCCACTTTATTGCATGAAGTTCACCAGGTAGAAGAGATCAGTTACTGCCCTCTTTTTTTTGCCTTCACAGATATATTACTCAGAAAATAACTTTGATCACACTATCAAACAAAGTAAGGTTAAACATTTTTGCTCTGCATTTCTTGTTGCAGGTTATTTTCTGTTACTTTAAAGAAAGGAAAAGTGTTAAATATACTGATTTGCAATGACTGCAAGTGACATCTTTATCAGACTTGATTCAAAGAAGCTGCAGGATTTGCTTTTGAAGCTTTAAGGGAAATGAGATGGATTTGCAGCATAGTAAGAAAAACCATAAGTAGCTCACTTACCTTTTTCTGTTTTTGCTTCCAGACCCTCAAAACACATCCTCGATCAAACACCAATTACATAAGGTAAGGATAAAAAATTTCAGATTAATTTAGTTGTATTCAACATTTGTCATTAGAATGATATTTATAGTATTAACCAAAAGAAAGGTGTTAAAATGTATTAATTTGTGCAGTAAATGCCAAGTTAAAGTCAACAATTGCTGTACCCATAAAAACCACATTATTTCATGAAAAAATAAGAATTTATCATTTACTACCATTTACAACTTAAAGAATTGTATTGGTAAGCAGCTGAAACGATGAAGCTAGGATCACTTGGTTAAAACACTAATGCTTCCACCATCTTGCATTTCCATTGTCTTTACGTGAACAGAAAACAGGAATTAAATGTAATTGTTATAAATTTCATGAGATATTCTTACATCCATCCATTTTTTTCCATTCGTCTTCCGCTTATCCTTTTCAGGGTCAGCGGGGGCGCGGCTATCCCAGCTGTCATAGGGTGAGAGGCAGGGTACACCCTGGACAGGTCGCCAGTCTGTCGCAGGGCCAACACACAGGGACAGACAACCATTCACACTCACACCTATGGGCAATTTAGATTTTTCAATTAACTTATCCCCACAAAGTGCATGTCTTTGGACTGTGGAAGGAAGCCGGAGTACCTGGGGAGAACCCACGCAAACATGGGGAGAACATGCAAACTCTACACAGAAAGGCCGTGGCCTGATGGTGGAATTGAACTCAGGACCTTCTTGCTGTGAGGATACAGTGCTAATCACCGTGCCACCGAGATACTCTTACATGAAATGTTAATTAAGATTAGGTGTCTTGAATTGAATGATTGATCTAAGATTGTAAGGAAGCGAAGAGCATACCAGGCTAGACCTAGAGTTGGACATCTGGCTGCATCCTGTAGATTGACAGGATGTAGCACAAAATGAAAGGTGTTGGGGTTTTTTAATGTTTTGTTTTTTTTAAAGCGTTGTCAATGAGATGGCTGCAGAACTGAAATGATTATCAATGTGTTGTCCTGCATTTTACAGGCAAGATGAATTTGGATGAGTACTTAAAAAGAATTGGCTTCCATGGCTCGCGG